TATAATTTTATGTCTTGATTCCAATCCAGGCAACTGCAAGAAAAATAAATTAAAATGGGGTTTGGCGAATGAGAGACAAAGAATTGTAATAAGTAGAAAAATAAAGAATTAAAATTGAAATAAAATAGGAAACATAAATTAAGATTGAAAACAATAACGAGAAAATATACGTGATCTAGTTTTGTTTCAATTCCGTTCAATCATCGAAATAGATTTTTACTTCGGGATTCATGTCGGTTACAGTCTACAAGGCCCAACCCATTGTAACTTGTCTTTTCTTTAGTAATCGATCTTCTCAAGTCACTCTTTGAAAGCTGATTCTTGAATTGACTAACCACAATTATTGTCGTTAGAACAAACAAATTAAGTTTTGAAAAAGCCCGACTCGGATTATGTTATCTCGTCGAGAATTGAATTCGATCCCAATTTTTATTAACGGACTGCCGCTAAGTTTGTTCACAAGAGGTTGAATATGCCACATGCCAATCCCTCCTCCCACTATAAATTAAAACAACATCTAGACCAACGTCGACTTTTTTGATATGAAAGCGTTTTAATTTTGAAAGTAAGGCTGATTGACAAACTAATAAAACATAAAATTGAGAATGTAACCCGAAGGGTCTTAAGTGCTTTTCAATTCTCACTTATGGAATTGAGTCATTTTAGCTCTCGACTAATAAGAAAATTAGCTAAGCATGGTAGAAACCCTACTTAGCATATTTTGTAAAAGCGAGTAAAAACTAAATGAAAAGAAAAAGAAACTTGTTTATAAAAAATAAAAAGAAGATAACAAAGAAGAATTCAAGAGACCATCCCTAAGTTTTACCATAAGAAGGTATTTATAGCCTTCTAAATCCTAAAAATAACATGGAATTTAAAATGAAAACAATCCTAAATTTCAAAGATAATTCAAATGTTTTAAACAATCCTCTTATCGTGCTGACTAGGCTGCTCATATAATCTTTCTCGTGTTGATTGGACATTCTAAAAACTGTCACGTCAGACTCATATCGTGCCCATGTCTCTAGTCGCAATCGAAAAATTAAAAAAAATTCAAAATATGTCCTTTTGCTGTCAATTCTAAAAAATATATTACTGCACAAAAATAAAACGAAAATAATCCAAATCAACAATGATATATTCATAAAAGGAAGGAAATAACAAACAAAAGGTAACAACTTAAAATGCTCATCAATCTTCTCATGAGCAACGAGTTAGCTCTATTCACTGACAAAAAAAAATGTCCATCGATACATCATAATTGTCTCCCAACTAATCAATCAATCGATGTAGATGCAATATTCACCACATATTATTTTACCTCTTTCGAACATGCCACAAGATTATTATACACTAATACTATCAAACTCATTGTTTACTTTACACATATCGTTGCTGACGATGACGCTCATCTACCAGCACCACTGCAACCAGTCCAATCGATAACGACATACTGGATTTTTGAAGTTTTTCTTTGATGATGAGATTATTAATTAAACATTTCCACAATCATTATTTTTGAGATGTCATTCATCATAATGTGAATGAGGTGTGTCAATGAATGAATGAAGTCCAATTTTAACATACGACGATACTAACAATGTCGGATATATTATCAATAGTGTTGAAATGACTATGAAATTCCTATTAAAAAGTGGTTAATATGAGAAATTTATGGCCTATACCCGATGAGGCGATGACCACAGCACTATGAAACCCATCTACGTTAAATTCATTGATGATACATTAATATGATAAAAATTCCTATTAATATGATAAACCTTTTTCATTTTCGTAAATAATATTTAAATGATGTTATTTAATAAATAATTTAAATATATATAATAAATATGGGCATTGAAATTTAACTAACGGCAAATTTCTTAAAACACAGAATAAATAGACATACCAGTTTGGCTTCAGAAACTTTAAACTGAAGAGCGCGTGGGAGAACCCATACAGATCAGTCGCGTAAACTGGGAGAGGAAAACAATACGATTTTTTCGTTATATCACTGTTGAACAGTATATTTCCTGATCATGTATCGTTCATATATTTCCCGATCTAACACCTTTTGCAGAAAGGCACGGCCCCTACAACGCGTTTTACGTTGATTTGGTGCAACGTGGGATAAGGCGCGCCCCCTACAGCGCGCCTTATGTTAACATGATATACACGTGTCTACAGGGGTATAGCGCGGTGCAGGGGTCACGTCTTACTCCAGAATTTGCTACGCATCAGTAAGGCGCGCCCCCTGCGGCGCACCTTGGGTATAATTACCCACCTACCCCAACGTTTCAATCCCTCCATATAAATACTCACATCCTCAATTATTTTCATCACACCAAATTCTCTCAACTTCACTCAAATACTCTTATAATCTCTGTCTAAGGTATATTTTATTATATTTTTAATATTTTATATTTAATTTATTTAAGTATTTAATTTATTTAATATTTTATTTAATTAATTTTTTTGCAGATATAAAATGGAAGACGGTCTACTTCGCTTGGATGGAAATCATATATCTCGACACTTTGCTGATATGGTAACATTTTAACGTTTTAATTTAATTTAAATTATTAGTAATTATTTATTGATTTATTTAATGCATGATTATTAGATTAAGAATTAATTTTTGTAATTATTTAATTTTATGAGAAAGACCGTATTAGATCCATTTATTAGGAATATTAAGTTAGTGATACCTAGTTGTATCTTGCCGTATTTAGTAGAGGCTGGATTTGGTTACATAAGTAGATATCAGGGTCACTGTAAGATAGAACTAGACCTTAATTTTTTATAACCATCATCACTTCTTCTTTGCTAGAAAACTCCATTCCTAAATATAACTCACCATTATTTATTGATGAGTAATATTCATAGTCACCGAGATGAGGCATATCCGCAAATTCTGGCACATACATTGCACCATAATCAGCTTCATACATGTGTGCTGGAGGGTCAGTTTGTGCCACATTTGCTGGAACTTCATCCACATCATCATCATCATCGGAGTTGAATTGCGTGATTCTGGGTGAATGAATAGTCCAGTCTCAGCACCATCCGCACCAGGCTCACGAAGCGATTCTTCTGGTGGAGATGATGGTTCCTCCATGCTCTTCACATTTAAATCGAAGAACCTGCTACTTGCACGCCTTCCTCTTGAACTGGAAGGAAATTGACATTCAGATCGAAAAAGCTCGCAGTCGAACGCCTACCCCTGGAGCTTGAAGCCATAGTGTCAAATGGAAACTGCACATATTGTTGCGTCGATGACATCTCCATATTAAGGTCAAATGGATTTGCATATGAATGTCTTCCCCTTGAACTGGACGCAATGTTGCCATACGAATTGTTCGTCGACCCACCTCGATACATATCGTAAGGAGTTGCGGATGAATGTCTCCCCATTATAGCATTAAAATCATTACACATTACTGTCGTCGGGCTGTCAACTTGTTCAGCCAGCCTATAATGGGAGCTTAATGATTGACCCCGAACAACACACACTTGAATAAAATTTGCATACATCTCAATATCGGAGTCTGAATAATTACTTTGAGCTTCAACCATCATTTCAACATCATCATTGTTCAAAAGTTCGAACGCTGTATAAGTTAATGACAACAATGATGTTGGAAATCTGTACTGCAACGACGACATTCTTCTACTACTTCCAACATGAATCTTCCTCGAAATCTTCGTTATCAGCTCCTCAAGAGTTATATTTCTCTTCAATGATATTTTAACACGCTCATTTGATACGAAAACAACGCCGGTTTCATCGTCTCGAATTTCTCCATCATAATAAACAATAGCTGAAAGTCACGCCATTCTTTGAGTTTAAAAGTTCGGCAATATTATATTTGCAAAAAAAAAAAAAAACAACTGAAACAATGCTGATTAAATAAATAATATATGAACGAAAATATAACATAATAAAATTTTACACATAAACGTAAATAATTTAAATAATATAATTTTACATTATTACCTGTACCGCAAAACTATTTCTACGTATATTTCCGCTTTCTAATTTTACAAACACAAAAATTAATTGACAACAATTAGTATAATATTTTTTCAAATAATCATAATAAACAATAAGTATAATAAAAAAATTTATCACAAAATTACCTTATAACAAAAACTTACACGAACTTCTGAATTAAATATGAGAAGATTGTTGGATTGTTGTATTAATTTTTTTAATCGAGAGGAGATGTGAGGAGTTACCCCGGGGAAATGGTATTTATAGCCGGGAAAAGCTACAAGACGCGGTACCTGCACCGCGCCTTACATAATTATATCAGATAAAGCTAAGGCGCGACCCCTGTTCCGCGCCTAATAATTGTGTTAAAGGTAAGGCGCGACCCTTGCCCTGCGCTATACTCCCAGGTGGCCTAAGACGCACCCCAAGGGCCGCGCTTTACACTTGTATACCATGTCAGCATAAGGCGCGCTGCAAGGGGCACACTTTACCCACGTGATGCCAAATCAGCGTAAAACGTATTGCAGGGGCCGCTCCTTTCTGCAAAGGGTGTTAGATCAAGAAATATAATCTGAACGGTGTCTGATCGAAAAATATACTGTTCAACGGTGATATATCGGGAAAATCGCCGAAAAACAATTACCTTATGATCTTAGGATTATTTTTTACCTCAAATATTTAAACTAATATTATTTTGTCTAAAATAATATATCAACTTGACTCCCATTTTGAGTATACAAAATTAATTTTGTCACATATTCTACAAAATTAAATTCAGATATCAATTTAAATAGAAAATATTAATTTATATTATAAAATTAAAAATGAGTGAAATGAGGACCCACCCGTTTGCAAAATCTAATTTAAATGTTAAGCTCTTACTCCTCTTTTTTTATATATATCAAAAACCAGTTAATTATTACAAATATTTATTGTATATTTAAAGTAATTATCAATTGCAAACTCAATTTCTAAAAAAAAACTTAAATGTGGGGGAAAAAACAATACAACCCTAAATTTCCGAGTCTCATTTTCTCAGAAGGCTCCCTCTTTTGCTCTCGTGTTTGTTCCCGAGAAAAAGTGTAAAAAAATAAACAAAGAAAGAGATAGAGGAAAAGAAAAGAGAAGAGAAAGATCGGGATCTCAACACTGCCACGCTAACCTCAAACCTGTTGTTCTCTAGTTTTTTGTTTGGATTTACCGGGAATCAAAGGCACAGTTATTCTTTTGGGGAGTTTAATTTGGTTTTCGTTTAAAGCAGCGTTCATTTGGATGGGAAATTGATGGTAAATATAAAAGGTAAGTTTTGGTTGAAATAATAGAGGAGATGAGCAAAGAACACCCACCTGAGCCACTGGATTTCTTCATTTGGACTGTTGAGGTTGGAATTGATTTCTCTTTTTTTTGTATTTTTTGTTTTAATTTATTTGGATTTTTGTTCCTTTAAATTTAGATATGCTTTTAGTATTGATACTTAAATTGTGGAGTTTTGCTAAATATATTGTAATTTTTTTCACTTGGAAACTTTAATGGTGGCTTTCTCTCAGTTCTTCTCTCAATTTTGTTTAAATTGGAACAAAAAATAGTAATTAAGAAAACAATGGTTTTTATAACCAAAAAACTTATTGTTGTAAAATATTGGTTGATTTTAGAAACTGGTAAAGTGAATTGAATTGACCAAAAAGGTGATCGCTTTTTACTGCCTTTTCCTCATGATCAAAATTAGACCTTGACTTATGAAAGATTTACATTCTGGTGTAGATAATATTTGTCGTTTGCCGAACCAATTATTGTTGGCTCTGATTTTGGTGATCTAGAAGTATCTCTACTTGATTTCTAGCAGCATTCCATCGAAAATTGCTTGTTTAAGTTTGCTATTTTCATCCTCTTTTTGGGATATGTGGTATTGTTTTCTGGTGATTCAACTTGTTTTAGAGTGTATATTTTCGTGTTACTAGATCATGGTTTCATGAATATATGATCGCCGTAACTTCTCTGCATTAGAATTATATTTTGTTTCTGTCAAAACTTGCATTTCTGTGGGTGGGAGTTTATTTAATGTTGTTCATGAAGGTTTGGTGAGGTTGTTTGGGTGCATAAATGAAAATTTATACTGTCCAACCATAACTACATATTGCATAGCTGTGTGTATGGTCTAGGTAGCTGCAGATATCGTGTGATAAATATGCAAACTATCCTTCTCTTCATTATCATTACCATTCCTTTCTGATAACAGAAACTGACAGCAGTACATCTGTTTAATTATTCCGAGTAAAAATTTATCTCCGAAAGAATTAACAGTTGAGCAACAAGGTAATTTGTGCATTAACCAGTGAAACGTTGCTTCAAAGGGTGTTTACTTTGTGATGTTATGTGAAGAGACAGGTTTTGAATTTGAAGCATTTGGTGAAGATATCAGAACATGTTTTTGCTTCTTTTTTTTTATATATATATTTAACATGAAAGCTGTTGATATGGACATTTGATTCGATGACATGCTTTTGCTCTGTTATCTTATTCTGTTAGGATGTTGGTATGTGGTTGGAAGAGATAAATCTTGGCAGCTACCGTCAGATTTTCAAAGAAAATGGTGTCAATGGGGAATACCTGGAAGGAATGTCTATGTTCACAACGGAACAGATTCTGCGATTTATAAGGCGGTGCCATATGAAGTGGGGAGACTTCATCACACTATGCAAGGAACTCCGACGAATAAAAGGTCTCTCTCTCTCTCTACATATATATATATATACACATACACACGGACACACATATAAAGCTTTTGCCCCTCTAAATTTGGAAGTTACTTCAATATTTAAATTTGCTTGATTATTCCCTAGTGTTGTTGTAAGATGTGTGTTTCTGGTAGTAGCATTTCTCAAATTGCATTGTTTTTTAAAACATGGGCGTTTCCTCTAATTCGTGCCTAATTTTTTTTGAAGCATAAACATTTTTCCCATGTCCCTTAAACAACAACTTCTGGCACACATGAATTGGCAACTAGGACTGTCTATTAGTGTAGGTTTGTTGATGCCTGTTTGCAATTTATATCAGCTATACTCTATATAATGCTGTATCTCTCGAATGGTTGAATGATATTCTGATTGCTATTCAAGTAAAAAAAATGTTTTTTATGCCCAATAGCGTTTAACTCATTATTAGAAGAAGATATTCCTTTTTTGATTGACATATTGAAAATATATTCTTCAGTGGCTTGCCTAAAAGGAGAGCAAAAAGTTCGCAGGCCATGGTGGGCTCCTCCTTGCCTTTCGGTATTCTTTGTTAAGGTGGCGAAGCGCAACAGACAGTCGCGCATTGTTTCCTTGAAGCTGGAGCCATGATGCAAAATATGCTTTAATTTACTTATATGTAGTTTTTTTTCCTTGTCGAGTAAAAATTACAGAAAAAAAAGACTCAACTCTGTGTTAAAATCTGTCAGGCTTTTCTGATAGTTCTTCCATCAAGAACTCTTTTACGTATGCAAAGCCTTTTTGTTTAAAAACATACATATGGTATGTGTTGATTTTTATAGCTGTATCAAGAATATTGTTCTTTGAAGCAAAGTGGCGTTTATGTTCATATGGAGGAAATGACTGATAATTTGGTTCATGAAATTCAGTCTCGGCCATTTCTTTGCATGGTTGCATAACGCAGGGAAAATATATGGGGAGGAATATTTATTTGTATGGTGAGGAATGGAATGTTGATATCAAGTGTGGTTTGGAGCAAGTGTGTTCATGTTTCCTGTTTTAATGGTTGGACTTGGTGTTTAGGTATTAAATGATGTTAGTACAAATATTTGAAAATAAATTTAACAAAAAAAGAGATTATTGTAGCTTTTAATGGTTTATAAATTTTTTTATTTAGTATTAGTAGACCATTTAGATTTTGCAAGCTTGAATTAAAACAAGTGGTAATTTTTTAATTCCCTTTCTGTGGGGGTAAAAATCACCACTCCATGAATAAGAAAATCATTAGAAAAACCATCAAAGTAAAGAAATTGGAAAGAGCTACAAACTCTTGACCTCGGCTCGGCTCACCCATAAGCTTTGTTTTTAGCTATGGATATCTATTTATCTATCCTAACAAGAGATTACTCTGAACGCTGGAATAGTTATTCAAAGGATTGATTTTTTGCAATGAAGAACCTAACGTAAAAAAGGCCTACCCTAGGAGACGAAAACTAAAAAATACATCCGCTTGAGGACAGTCTTCAGCAACTCAAGATTCTGAAAAAAAAAGGACGTATAGCTCAAAAACAAAGGTGGTGGTTCACTTGGCTTTCAAACTTAAATTTTTTTGTAGGTCCCCTAACCCTCACTCCCTATGACATCTATGATTCGCACAATGTGAGAGTTGTTCATTCAAGAAAACCATGACCCCATTGATTTTCGACGTTCTTCCGTCGTTTAGTTACTGATTTGCCGGCAATTTAGCTGGCAAGCACACCTGGTAACACTAGTACTGACAGTAACACAGCATCTAAAAGGAACTTGGCAAAAAATACAAAAACCCAACAATTGCCCTCCTAACAGTCTGTTTCCAAGTGTATCTGCGACTTATTCATACCTCGACGAACAGCAAAGATTGTTGCCTTTGCTCGGAATTTAGTTAGAACAAGTGCCGTTGGTTTTTCTAATCATTAAACCAAATATCTAAAGGAAATGAACTACAGATACGATTTCAAAAGCTCGCATGCATTGGTTCCTTAAGTACCAATAACCCAATATCCATACATATAGATTGCATCAATTCAAATTGGGTAGGTTACAACTTAAAACTCTTATGATGATAACTACAAAACAGCATAATTTCTTCACATCTAAAAGCTAGAATGTGCCTACAGAAATCACTCGATGCATAAATTCTTGAATTGTTTCCTCAATTTGTTGCCAAGGATTCAGGAAAACATCTAGCATGCAACCTCAGAGTAACAAAAACCACACAAGAAATAGATGCTGCAGTAACTCACCAGTTCATTAAAATCATGAAACCTGCATATAAGTGATGCTGTGCCTTCCGAGTGGAAACAACAAATAAGCATCCCATCTCAAAATATAGTGGAGGTTACATCCTTCTTACAATTTATCTCCACAGAACTGATGCCAGTCTCACCGTCTGAACAACTAGTCCAACTGGGAAATGGAGCCATTGGTCACAAAGGCTAGTGCCCCAAACAAAACCATGAACCCAAAGTGACTATTTTACCACTAGTCATTGTGATTCCAAACAACATTAACCTTGCAATTCAAAGAAAAAGAAGAAAATGCTTAAAGAACACTTACAAATTACACCAATCAATAAAATTCAAAAGCCACTGCTGGAAGAGATGCCGTCAGGTCTAGCAATTCCTGTCAGACCATTACTAGTTTTGCTAATGATCCCTTTCCCAAAATATTCAGCAATTACAGAAAAACTGTCCTTTGAGCTCTTGACTTGTTGGAAGAATTGATCTTGATCTCTTGAATTATGTTCCAGGCTTCTCTTCATTTCCATTACAGATCTGTACTCTGGAGCACACTCAGGACATTCCTTTTCAATATCACCAAGGCAGCGCTGATGAAATGAGTGCATACACATGAAGTGAACAGCAGGTAGGTCAAGGGTAAAAGTGCAAGCGGTGCACTTGCTAAGCTGAAATATCCTAGCATTTGTCCTAAGGTCCTGAATTTCTTTTCTCATAGCTATTGTGTCTTCCTGTGCAATCCAAAGAATTGAATTAAACAAAGAAGAAAAAATGATTGAGCATAATTTTTTTTTGATAAGAAGAGTAGGTCTCATTAAAAACCCCCTTCATGCTTGATGGAGCAGTAGGTGCTCCTTAATCAGCGGAAGGAGGAAAAGAGTGCCCTAGAATTCATTAATAACCAAAAGTTACATAATGTTTAAAAATATACACACTCCATTTACAATAACCAACACAAATCATAAAAACATCCTAAACAGAACAGTAAAACTAGCCAATACCAGCCTTAGCTAAGCTATCAGCCTCAATATTGGCTGACCTAGCAACCCATCTAATAACACCCTCCAAATCTCTTAACTTAGCTACATTGTCTCTCACTAAATCTATATAGACATAGGGACAGCGATCATAACTCTTAACCCAATCCACTGCTAGTTTACTGTCACTTTCAACAATCAACCGTTCCTTGAACCTCTGTTGGATTGAATCCAAGAAAATTAAGCCCTTTTTAATTTCCTTAAGTTCCATCAAAATAGGAGGGCCTCTTGAAAAGAACCCATCACTGAACCATCCTCAACTCTTAGTAATCCACCAACACCACTTTTCCTCCAATCTCCACTCACAGCAGCATCCACATTCAGTTTTATAAAGATTGAGCATAATTTTGAATTTACCAAATGACAATCATGGCAAATTTCACAGCCAAAAGAGAGGGGGCCGTATTTCAATAAAGCTTAAATCATCGAGTAAAGAAACAAATGGATTGTCCATTAAAAACGGAAACAAACATCACCTATTGCAGTATGACACCATTGAATTATAATTAATTGATCATTTTTTGTCTCACAAGCTTCGAAAATGTCAATTTAATCTATTGACAATAATTTTAACATGCCTAAAAGAAACCAATACTTTTAACACTTTTTAAATAGAATTTGGTGCTGCTTATATTATGGAATGTTTTCTTGCCAAACTCTGTTGTTACATAATCACGAAACACGTGCAACTCTTACTACCTGTTTAGGTGATCAAAAGAAGAGTAATTAGAATTGCAAGAGAAATATGATTGGAAGAAAGTAGGTACCAACCTGATACTTCTCTATAGCTCGTCTGTCCTCTTCAATCAGTTTTGACTCCTGTTCAAGTTTCCGGGCAATGTAATCTTTAATAACAGATAAGGTGAGACATGGATTCCGAGAAAGTGTCTGAAGAACAATAATGGGAGGCAAGATATCATCCCTCTCAATATATGCCAAAACTTCCTTCACTTCTTTAGAGCAATCTTCACCAAGTTCACCAAAGTACTTTAGAAGATCAGCCCAAAGAGCAGGATCCCCACCCTTACCAGAGTCCCCTAGCCTTTTGCAACATGCAATCAATCCCTCATGGTCATGGTCTTGCATGTAGCAAGCAATCACTTCTTTAAATAGTTTCATCTTCTCATAGAGATACAATAAGCCCTCTTTAAACGCATTCATCTCACATAGGATGATAGCAAGACCGACATCATAAAGTGGATGTTCCAGGTCAGAAGGCCATGCACTCTTAAGCAAGCGTAGCCCATTTTCCTGTCTTTCCAGTGTGTCCTTTTCTGTAGGTGAATTCTTACCCTCAGCAACCAGCTTCCCGTTTGGCACTGTTCTTTCTTTGATACTAAAATCTGTTCCATTGTCAGCTTGGTAGATTGATGGGAAGTTCAAATCAATGGACAGGTACAATTCCAAGAGTGTGTTATGAATCTCTACTTGAGCAGGAGAATCTTTTACCTTGTCAACATATTTTTCAAGGAAATGGATAAGAGGCTGTGGATGATGGATGAAAATATTGAGGAAATCAACAGGAGATGGTAACATATATAAGTAACCACCATTTGGAGTTCCACATTTAGCTAACTCATTATCCTCAGTGCACAACCTCATAAGTATATTAATTGTCTCTGCTGGTTTGTGCTCTACGAGAATCTTCCCATATTCCTTCACTGTCGCCCCAGCTTGACTAGGTTCAAGGCCAGAGATATATTGCAAAGCTTCATCATATCGGCCAAGGTCTTCAAGCAAATTCTTTAAGTACCATTCATGCCGCCCTGCCTTCTTTGTAACATACATGGCATGTTCATGGTAATTCGCTGCTCAGCAAACCCTTATAGCAGTCTCCACATCAAATTTATGTTCCCCAACACCATCCTCACTCTTAATGAACACATTCAACTTGTCAACATCTTTCAATTTAGTATAGCAGTTTAACAGAAGGGTGGTGTGATCTTTAGAGGCAAATCCCTTCTCATGTAAATTTTCTAAGTAATTTGTAAGGTTGTGGATTCTTTGTGCATCCAGAAACTTTTGTATGACAAATGAAGGTTCAAGGTGACCAATGGTGTGTATGTACTGTGCCATAGCCTCATCATAGTCTTGTTTGCTATATAGATGATCACCGTACTTCCTCAATACTTCAGCAGTTGCAGAAGCATCAGCTTGCTGAGTTTGAACAAGGTTGATAGCTACAGTGTAAAGGTTTTTCTTGAAGAGCATGTCTAACTTGCTTTCCATATCCTTCTCACCAATACAAAAAGCTGATTTATCAGTCATTATAAGTATTATATTACCCCATTCGCAAAGCATGTGAGAAACTTCTTTAACAACTAGACTCTGTGCTATTAACCGGTTCTTCAGGTCATAAATATTAAATGTGTTCTTTCCATTTCTTTGATCTGCAATAACACATAATAAATATCCACGATACCACCCTAAGAACTTCTTCTCTCCTTCAAACGCCCAACAGGGACCACGCCCATCTATCTCATAGAAATACACGGCCTCAGGTCGACCAATTATCAACTCCTAATGAAAAACAACAGAGAAACACTTATCTTCTAAGACTATATATGGCTATT